TGAAATTTCATGCTAATAGTTGAATTAATGAATTTGAATTTGATATTCTAATACTACGAGAAGTTTGCTATTAAACGATATTAAGCTTGCTTGCAAAACAGTTCACTTTTGGAACAAATTTTTCAATTGAAAAAAACGGCCATTACTTATCGGCCAACCTAATAATACGAGACCGATAGCCTGCCGTCGTCTGCGGTATTCTGAAGCCCAAGCTGAAGGGCTCGATAGCTATCCATTTCTTAGGCGCACAATTGCCCAAATAGCCGAGTCACAACACCGCATCGCGATTCTACCCAATAGCCAGATCGGCACCTTTACTTTCTAATCGCGCAATCTCTCGACTCGCCGATTCTCTGCAGTCGCCAAATCTTTTCAGTTGCAAAGTATGAGCACGGCATCAGTTGAACGATCAGCCAAGGGATTCGGACAGTGATTTTCCAGTCTGGCCTCCGCGGTTTTTGTAATTGAGCCCAGATGCTGAAAGAAAAGTTTGAGCGCTGGAACGAAGTGCATACTCCCGCATAGCAAATTAGCGATGTCATGAACAAGCTGCCTGAACAGCAGGAAGAAAATGAAAAGTTGCCACGGGTACAACATCCAGCAGTATTAGTGAGGTCCATCCATAATCAGAGGGGTTGAATCCAAAAATTGACTTACACGCTAAATTGTATTGAAGCGCAGTCCGGCTTATGGGGAACAGAGCAGTAGTCCGCGAAGCCTGCACAGCAGAAACTGGTGTATTCTTGTGACCAAAGTGGCTCGCTTGCACCTTTTCGCAGCTTCACAAGAGTTTACAAGTATATGAACTAACAAAAGGAAGAAGCGAAGATGTAAAATGCCCTTCCCAAGCCGAACAACATCTCTGCGATGGCCAAAAGTTACAGTAATGTGCGCTTGAAAAGATAGGATTTTCGAGTAGAGGCTTTTTCAAAGAGAGCAAGGGTGTGAAAAACACTTAATTTGATCAAGGTGAGGTACATCGATAATAGGGAAAGTGCACGATATACTTGACTGAATGAAATTCTGAAACTTTCGAGGAGGAGAAATGCAGTTTGTAGAATTCTCACCTTATAAGATTTTTCATATCACTGCTGTAGTGATTTGTGACGTATGTCATACTCTGCTGGACAAGATCTCGGCGAGCGGCGAATGCATTACCAGTGGCCAAGGCCAGTAGAACTCGGCCCAGAGCATGAAGATCTTCCATCTTAAAATAGGAAGGAACCGAGATTTCTGGGATTCAGGTGAACAGAGCTGATTTTAATACCTGTAATTGTTGGACTTGGGTGTCAGGCGCAAGTAGATCAGCTACTCCACCGCAACTCAAGAGAATCTTGAAAAAAAATGATTGATTCTTCAGAAAAGAAAGATATCAAATGAATTCCCACCTTGCTCTTGCCGTGAACGAGGATCTTCGAGAGATCTACGCATCTGGAAGCAAGACCATTTGCATGAACAGCTCGTAATGCGGATGACAGTTGAATCACATATGACCACAGCAACCATTCGACAACCCCAGCGCCTTGCTGCATTTGGTTTGAAGCGTGTCCAGTGAGCTGACTCGACATTTTGGCTCCAGCTGAAAGAAACCCATCTACAGGAGCAGGAAAAATATCTATCACCGAATTTTCGCATTTTTCAAGAACCACAGAAAGAACGTCAAAAGCATAATTAAAATAATACTTACTTATTCCATCAATGAAACCACTACCAAGCATACGTCCAAAATGACGAGTTTTTAGTGAGTCTGCCAGGGGATGGTAATCATAGACGAGAACGACAGCTAAAAACCAGCGTAGAACTTGGAGAAAAAGATATTACCCTATTTTTTAGGGTATAAAGTCCCTGGATTGCAATGTGGTAGGGACGAACGCGACACCGCCTCCAGAAGGAAGGAGGAGATCAGAGTATTAATCTTTAAAGGGGGATAAGTCCCTCAAGGCCTTATAACGCACTTTGAGGCTAGGAAAGTTTTCCAATTCGTAGGACAAGGAACTGGGTAACTATTCTCTGACCATTTGTGACAGGTCTCCCGCCCCACCAGCACTAATCCACTTCCTCAATTACACGTCAAATCCTTAGCCCTCTTGTAGGCTTCTTCGATGGTGTGTCCTCCTATTTCTCCACTTAAGACTCAAATGGCATCTGGAAACCCATACTTGACTCAGGGCGCCCAAACTGTGAGCCTCGGATCTGCGCAAGTCTAAGTGGAGCTCTCACTGTCATTCTCTGTGTAGAGAACGCCTCTAAGAAGAAAAAATGCTAGAAGGAAATTGAACTTACAGCTGTCACCAAAAGCTTTGCAATTGGGAAGAACTTCTCGCAGTTGCACAACGTTCACATTTACTAACTTCTTCCACGTCTCTAACGGCTGTAGTTGTTTTGGAGAGGAAATGCGAAAGCCTGAGAACGAAATCTATTATTTACAAGGATATTTGAGTATGTGGCAACACAATCGTAACATATGCCGCGCGGGTGGGGTGGCAGCGATGACGCGCCCGCCGCGGCGGCAAATGACGTTATTTCAGGGCTGGTGACAGCGATAATGTATAACTAAAAAGAGCCATAAGTGTCTACGATATCGAATTCTGTACGAAATCCGGTGCTGGTTTCG